CAAGTCATTCATTTTTCATATATATTATTTGTGGGAAGGGTGTTGCATTTTTCTCTTAGTCACAGGGAGGGGCAGCAAAAAAAAAAAAAAAACACTTAATATTCTGCTCCCCTCCTTATTTTGCTAATTTTTGACCAGTTTCTAAGCACTTGCAGTAGTATGGAGTTAAACTGTGCTGTCCTCCTCCAGCTACGAGTCAGCAGTGTTGGAGACCACTTTTACCCACGGCAGCTGGTCTACCTTCTGTGTGAAGATGTCGTCCTGCTGGGCCTGTGTGATCCTCTACCTTTGGCTGCTGCTGGGCCCTCTGTGCAGCTGTCAGTCTGAATCCAGACCTCGCCGTGCACGCATCAAACGACGGTCAGGATCCTCCCGCCACGTCTCTGTCAGTGTCTGACACGCTCTGTCAGGGGCCAGGCAGGAGGGAGGCACCAAGGTCAGCAGAGGACTCCTGGAACCTCCTTGTAGTGCCCTGCAGGAGATTTTCATGACTGGAAGTCACAGGATCAGGGTTCAAGACTCACAGTGCTGTGACAAGGACCACTCAGAGGGCGCAGTGCCCTGTCAATGTCAGAAGAACTGAATGACGCTCTAAACTGTAAACTGCAATAGTAAAACCACCAGTGAGGACTTGACTGTGGTTTGAAAACACAAAGTATGAATTGCCAAAGGGATCAGAGGGGGTGAACTGTCAATCTGTATAATGATCACAGTAAGTAGGTGGCTACATTATGAACTTTTATTATAGTTTTATTTTCAATTTTTGGCTGTATTTAGACTTTTAATATTATAAGACAGTAAGAATTTTTGATATTTAATGTAATGTTGGAACAGAGACACACATCCCAGTGATGTTTTATCTTTCTGATAAACAAAAGAATCCGCCCGAACAAATATAGCCCTGTTAGTCCCCTGATCCGAGACAGGATGTCAGTGGTTTTGATCATGAACAAATCTTTCTCAAATTTGGAAACAGAGAACTTTGGGCTAATTGCATCAAAGTTCAAACATAACCTCTGATGAAAGAGATCCTTACTGTAACATTTTAGTAGCTTATAAAATTTGTTTGCATCATATAGTGAACGTTGTTGCAACTATAATCAAATAAATTAACTAAATATTTAGGCAGATCATTTGAGCGAGGGTGTCCAGTCATATTGCCACCTTAGAATTCTAAGGTTCTATCTGTGTTCTGAGCAGTTTGGAGATATGGAGCTTCAAAGTTTTTGCATTCCAATCAGCAAAAATGATATGAACCTTTTTGTTACTGAAAAAAAGGTTAAGAAATGCATATAACTGAAAATAAATAAATAAATAAATAAATAAACCACCTCACATAATGTTAATAACTACAAATGTCAGATAGAACCTTAGAATTCAAAGTTGATGATATGTGAAGGATTTTGTAGTCAAATAAACACTAAATCAGATGTCTCTGAGGATTAATCTGTGCAGTCAGCAGGAGGTGTTGTGGTTGGTTATTTTAAAACTAATACTAACAAACTAATACTAACCACCTTTTTTTTTTTTTTTAATCTAGTCTTGTAACTCAAAACTCATGTTGAATGATACTATATGACACCCAGTTACGTCAAGATGATAAAACACATTTCAGTGATTGGCTTCACACCTGCAGTCAAATTCAGGTATTTGTTACTAGTTACAGTATAAACATTAAAAATCTGCTCATCATTTTAGGAAGTACACTGTGTCTGCGGAGGGATGATCTCAGTATGTATCTCCCCTTAAAACCACAACCTGTTAATCTGACATTTCTGTTCATGTACAGACTAAACAAACAGATATAACCGAAGAGCTTTAGAGGGGCAGTTAGACCAATTTTTGAGCTTTGGACAGAACCAAGTTAAATGTGCCCTGTTTCAAGTTTTTATTCTAAGCAAAAGCTAATCAGCATCCAGCTATAGACCCGTATATGCACAGACACAGAGTGGTATAGAATTTCTCAGCTAATTATTTTCACAAAAGCCAATAAGCATATCCAAAATGTAAAATTATTGCTCGAACATCTATTAATTAAGGCCTTTTCAATCCAGTGACTGCTGCAAATTAGTTCAAAGTTCACAGAATAATAGCATGAACTTTATTTAACTTTGTGCTAACAGTTATAAACCAGACAACTAATTTAATTCAATGAAGAACTAATCCTGAAGTGCCTCACTGACAGTAACAAAGAAAGATTTGTTCATGAAGAGTCCAGAGTATGGAAGCCCTGAGAGGCAAGTAAGAATGATAGTTTTTCTTATGGTGATTCATTTTCTAAACCTGATTTAAATTGTTTATCTCTCCTGTGTTTATGACTTAAAGACAGATGAAAAAAGATTTTTCCAGAATAATATTTCAAAGTTCCTTATTTATATTTTTCATTTTTGAAACAAGTAAGTTTTTGAACAGGTCCATCCATCCATACACCCATCCATCCATTTTCATCTGCTAATCTAGGGCCGGGGCAGCAGGCTTAGCGAAGAACTCCAGACGTCCCTCTCCCGAGCAACACTTTCCAGCTCTTTCCAGCTCTAGTGTGTTCTAGGTCTGCCAAGGAGGCATCCTGATCCACCTCAACCGGCTCCTTTGAATGTAAAGGAGTATCGACTTTACTCCGAGCTTTCTCCGGATGTCTGAGCTCCTCACCCTATCTCTAAGGCTGAGCCCAGCAACCCTACGAAGGAAACTAATTTTGGCCACTTGGACCTGCGCATATATAGCACCTTTCTAGTCATTTGACCACTCAAAGCACTTTAACACTACATGTCACAATCACCCATTCACACACACATTCACATACTGGTGGCCGAGGCAACCATAGAAAGTGTCACCTGCTACTCGGTCATACACACTCGCACATTGATGGAACAGTCATTGGGAGCAATTTGGGGTTCAGTATCTTGACCAAGAATACTTCGACATGCAGACTGGAAGACTCGGTTACACTGCCAATCTTCCAATTAATGTACAACACGCTCTACCTCCTGAGCCACAGCCATCCGACACCAGTTGCAGATTAGTGCAGATTTAAATAAATTTTTTGCCCAAACAGAGACATGACAGTAATTTTACATAACTTGCTAACATAATATATGTACCCCCTCCCCCAGAGGATCACAATGGAAATAAGCTTGTAGCTTTATTGTGTAACTGAACTGCCTACAGTTTTAGGCATATGTGATAAAGGTCTTCAGGTGAAACAGTGTTATAATTGTCAGATTTATTAATCTATCTTTCTATGTTTTGAGGGCATGGAAAAATGAAAACTAACCTGGAATGGTTTTTCTTTTTTAGAGGTTATGGTGCCCTTCAGCCTCCTGTGGCTGACATGGTATAAAAATATTTTTTCTTTTCACCTGCCAAAACTTTTTATTTTTTTCCATCTGTTTCTATAGATGAAAAAAGTTTTTTTGCCAAGAACTTATCCTGACAAAACCTTTTTTTAACCTGTTCTTTAGTCGGAAACACACACGAGAGAAAACCCATTACAACTGACTGGATCACCAGAATTTCTTTTTGTTACCTCTCTGGGCTTTCGTACATGGGCCACAGGGATAACAGATTCTCTTTCAGTACTTTCTCTGCATCTTTTTTTGTTTTAAATGATGGACCTTTAAGTGCACAGTTGGATGGTCTGACAGAGTGGCTGAGAGGCAGCTAAACAGAAAATAATGGTGTTCTATGAAGTTCAACACCAGAGGTTTGTTAAACCAAGGCAGAAATACTTCACATTTGACTTAAAATGAGGAATATTACATATTCACATTATGTTGCTTTACAGTACGCCCATCACTTGATTCTTGTTTACACTTTGTTTGTATTTGTTACTCTATTTTGAAACCGTTAAATAGAAACCAAGAGTGCAAAAAAACCCCTAAAAAAAACAACCTAAAATCACTTCAAGAGATAATAGAAGCTTTCTGTCTCATGCCTTCAGATGAAGTAGTCACGCCTGCTGAGGAGAACTGTGTTGTGAATCTAAAATAGCCCCCATATTCCCCCGAATGTTCATGCTGGTGTTGGTATGTGGAAATGTGGGACTGGCTTTTCCACTGAAGGCACACTGAGCCTTCTGCGATGACTTCCTCACAGTTAAGGAGCAGTAATCAGTCTCAATCAAAACCTAAACATATACAGTTATATTGTGTGTAGTTTAATGTTTCCTTTGTTGTAGATATGATGCTTTTTTGTGAATACATTGTTTTCTTACAAACTAAGCAGCACAAATAATTTTAAAATGTTTAATGCCAAATTCAATTGCTTTTTGTCTACAAAAAGTAAATATTCAGAAGAGTGGGTCATTATAATTCATACATAACATGGACAAAAATTATAAAGACATTATTTTGGCACATGTCGATGAGGTTTGAGACAAGATGTTTATATAAATATTTCAAATGCATACCACACAGCACAGAAGTTAACTGACCATTAAACAGACTGAAGGTTTTCTGAATTAAAATCAGATTATACTTTAGTATATCTGTAGCTAATCAGTGCCACACAATAAAATACTGTATAATTTATAATCTCTTTCACATAAAGTATCACAAAGCATACCTGATATAACACATTTTAAAAATGAATACGACACAGACACTATAAAAGATGTTAAACAAGTGACACACAACTGAATGTGTTATGTTTGAGCATATTTTTTTAAATATATAAATACATGGTGAAGCAATATGTTGTGAAATATCTGGAGTTCAAAAAAAAAATCCACCTCTAAATCCTGATTGCATGTTGCACCATGAACTTGTTGCTTTTACATTCAGTTACATGTGCTGTTTGAAAGGCAGATGATAGGTGAAAGCAGAGTTATAATATGTTAGATTTTAATGTAAAGTTGTTTAAAAGAAGAAAGAAGTAAGAATCTGGTTGTGATGGCTGGTACTGTTTTCACCTGATGAGTTTGTGTGTGTGTGTGTCATCATGGTAAAATGTAATCCTGGTGACACCTATTGTAGTGAGAACAACCACAGCAGCCATTTGAGTATTTTGCCAGGTGTTTATTTGTCTGTCTGTGGACAAATTTTGTTAACACGATAATGTCACAATAATGCAAGATGGAGACACAAAAAACAGATGTATAGTTAAGATCAAAATGAAGGTAGAGTTTGGAGTTGGGTGTGGTTCAAGCAAGGCTGCCGGAAGTAAAGGGATAGGCAGCTCTGTCTCATTACAAACTCATCAAATGGTGCCTCTTTGTCAGTGATTTTGGCATTAGACAATGCAAAAAAGACACATTACCCAGCGGTATGATACACTGCTGGACGGTGTCAGTTTGAAATGCTGCCGGAAACAATGTAATATAAGGAGCTGTAAAGTCTCTATAGGGCAGGTAGAGGGAGTGGCAGATGGGTCCCACAAACCCCAGACTCTAAACCAGCAGCCTGCTGTCTAATTCCTGTTTGAATGTTGAGCCACACCATTATGTTTTTTTTCTAAATCAACCACATGCTTTTGTTGCACAAGGAAATAAACATAAAAACCAGATGTTTTACTGACATAAGTTTATTTTGAAAACTATTGTATGGATCTAACGTGCAGAAATTTTACATTTCCTGTTCAAGGACAAGTGTAATTTTGGAAAGACACAATGCATGTGGTAGATACTGGAACCCAAATTGCTCCCGAAGGCTGTTCCATTAGTGTGTGAGTGTGTGTGAAAGGTTACTGAGTAGCAGGTGGCACCATGCATGGTACCCTTGGCCACCAGTGCGTGACTGTGTGTGTGAATGGGTGAATGTGACATGTAGTGTAAAAAGCGCTTTTAGTGGTCGGCAGACTAGAATTAGAGCACTATACAAGTGCAGTAACGAATGTAAACTGAGCATCCAAGAGCAGACACAGGCATCTAGTGCATTATATTTGGACAAAAAAGTCCATTGACAAAGCGGCAATATTTGTCAAGTTGGGATGAGAACATGTTGGGATGGGAGGTATGGAAAAGTCCATTATCCCTCCCCACATTGTGTTGGAAGAGCAGCTGGTTTTCCTCAATCCTCAATGTTCCTCAACACAGGAACAATGGAGTCTCAGGTGTAATTTAAGGATAATTCGGGTTTACATTAAGGCAGCTCTAGAAAGACCGCCCTCCACACTTTAACTCTGAGGGACTGATACCAAAACCTAACACTTACTGATTGCTAAAAACATTTGGTATCACCAACTCTACTGAGCTGCTGGAAATATATAGATGAGTCAATGTATCCTCAGAAATAAGTAGAGGACAATATGTCAAAATGGTGTTCAGTGGTACTTCATCTTAATGTTTTGAGGTGGATTTTTCTTTTAATTTTACACCGACAAAAATACAATCACATACAAAAATTAAATGACAACTGGAAAAACAGCAATAACAAAAAGGCCATTTCAGTCAATGTTCTTATCTTTGGTATGTGTTTAAAGTTGGGCGCAAGCACCCGCCTAAAGTGCTTGGTATGGTACAATAAGCCGGTCAGGTTTTCAAATAAACATGGAGTCTTTTTGGTTTCTTAATGTGGCAGGTTTTAAATGTTAAATGTTAAATGTCAAATGTCGATGATCTAAAGATCATTGTTCTCCAAAGATGCCACTCTGGAATTCATCAGGCGGTCACATGAATCACACACAGTCTGATGATGCTTTGAAGGTCCAGAAATTAAACAATGGAGGTGAATAAAGCTTTATAGTGAGCTTCATTCTCTGACTGACACACACACACACACACACACACACGTATAGTTTGTCTCTACACTTGTCCCATCAGCTCTGCTGGCTGTTTGGGTCCTCTGTTGCTGCAGAGTCTTTCAAGAGGTCGCAGCAGCTCGTCCTCTCTGGGTCTGTAGGGCACCACGTAGCTCTCTTCCTCCAACAGGATGCGGTTCAGTGTGTGCTCATAGTTAATGTGGCGACGCACCATCAGTATATATTGCTTCCCCTCCTCCAGGTGGGGGCAGTCACACACATTAGGGACCCACAAGAACTCCCGGTGTTCCAGGCGAAAGCTGTTCCGGTAGGTGTGGATAATCTGGACATCGTATCGGGTCTCCTCGCCTCTGTACAGCTTCCCGAGAACTCGAGCACGGAAAACTAACAGGAAACAGAGTTTAATATGATGTTTCAAATCCCATGTTCAAGTTAGCATCCTGTCACAACTTATTTAAAAACAGCACAGCTACAAGCTTTAGACTCACCAAAGTCCTTCTGGCAATACTGTCTCTGGCGTTCCCTTCGACCTTTGACCCGCCGACACTTCCCACAATGCCCTGCAAGTTAAACCAAGCTAAAATAAGCTAACAAAGATAGTCATGATAAAAGAGAAAAGACTTTAAACAGGCTGTTCTCACAATTTTTTTGTATGTTTTCCTTCAAAAAGCAAAGCACCCAAATTCATACATATCCTACATTTTTTGAAAGGCTGTGATCAAGTGACCAATGCACTGATGGCAGTAAACATGGAAGCCGTCCTGAGGGCTTGTAAGCAGGTTGGGGTGGTAGATGGGTCACAAAAAACTGGACTTTTACCCGTGACTTCCCCTGGAGTTGCGTGTATGGATCTGTGTTAGCTTTGGGTGAACTGTGAGTCATTTTAAGATACATCTTTACCATGTTTCTTTTCCTAAACGTAAGCCCAGTAACTTTACTTGCCTAAACCTAAAGATACCCAAACATGGTTCTTTTTCCTAAACCTAACCACAGTAGTCTAACTTTTATTGCCTAAACCTAACCTCCGTAACTTTATGCTAATTATATATAACTGTATATTAAGGACGTAACATCATTCAGAGTTTCTGCTACATGTAATTGATCGTGGTGCGCCGCCACGGCAAAATAAAAGCCGCCACGCCTTCAGAATGCTGATTTTTTTTTTCAGATGTTAAAACAATGTGAAGTATATTGTATGAATGAATATATATACACACACACACACACACACACACATACACACACACAAATATCATGAAATGTTATGTGACACTACGCTGCAATTAACTTTATTTTGAAAAACGAACACCGGAGTCATCACCTGCCTGTCTGGCTGTACTGCGGCACGCTCAAGAGTGGAAGGGAGGCAAAGAGACGACAGTCTGAAGTAGAGGGAGAGAAAAGGGGTGAGAGATAGGTAGTGCTGTGTAGAGCTTAGATTGGGCCCAAAAATCCAACCCAACCCCACGCATGTTCTGTCCGAGCCCTACCGGGCCCGTCCCTTTAACTGTAATTATGAGCTCGAGCCCGGTTTAAACCCGACTTTTTTTTAAGGATACGAACGTGGACATTGAAGGCTGACTCTCGTCTTTCTTTCCATGGCAAGCCTTCGTCATGTGCCTCTTAAGTGTCGATGTCCCCGTCTTTTTGCTGTCCTATACCAGCACGGTGCTGCACTTGGTACACTAGACGAAGCCGACACACAAGTTGTCAACAACTCACATGTGTGCGCCAGTGGCGCCGTCAAGGGGGGGGGGGGCATTTATTAATTTGCGACACCTGCTACCTGTTAACCATGTCAAGACACCAGACAACCTGATCAGTGTAAGAGCACATTCAAGATCAAAAGTATTCAACACACTTTTAACTATTTTTATGTGTAGGTGAGGACAGACCTGAGGAACAGGCAGCATCAATGGGCCACCTCATACAACAGAGCCTTAGAGCTCTTTTTCAAAAAAATCAAGAAAAATAAAGTGCTCCCAGCCAGGCTGCAAACTGTGCCATTAGATTAGACTACAGTTGTGTATATAGTTGTGCTACAGTTGTGTAGTGAATAAATAGTGTATTTATAAAAACATTCAGTTTCCGTCATCACCGGAGCCCTCCCCCACAGTTTCAAAAAATCCTGGAGGAAACCCTGATCATTCATGGGGCACAAATTCTTAGGATATCATATGAACAGTTGTGCATGCATTTTTCATAGGAAATCATACAAATGTAGTTTTATAAACTAGGCTCAAGAACAACGACCACGCATCAAACACATCCCATTTCCGCCCAATAGTATTTAAGCACACCTGATGCATTCTCTTTCCCTTCAACACATTTCTCACACCAAACTGGACATCAGAGACCAGACGGCAGACTGTCTCCACTTCCAGAAAGGAAAAGGAATTCCCTTCAGCTGCGGCCACAAGCTGGGTTCCAACTCCACGCCGCTCCATTAAACGCCATGCCTATGTAACTGCTGGCATGTAGGGATCATCCCCCGAGACATCCATGCTAGGATTGCCACCCGTGGCGTCACAGAGATTCCAACTTCTCGAGGGCAGCAGCCAGTACCATAAGCTCCCACTAACAGGGAGCCAGGTTGTATGGTCTAAAGTTTTAAGTTACTCATTGTCACATGCAATTAGAGGAAACAATTGTCATTTGTTTGTTTGGCAAACAGTAATCTCAAATCTCAGGTTCCTTCTACCAATGCCCTTTTAATACATATTAAGGGAAATCTCTCAAGTAACCACTGCTCATTTCATTTGTACAAAAGGAAACCACACTAGTAAAACAAACTAACAAACAAACAATAACCCTATGGCCTCTAGTTTCCCGGTGCGGCGCAGGGTGGCAAACCCCGCGCAGAGCTAGTTTCGAGCAGCGCAACCCGAGGCGCGCTCAGTTTGGTAGTTTGGCAGACTGAGGTGCGCTGAGATGGGTGTGGCGGCACAGCAGGGGGAGGTGTCGACAGATCCAGCTTGGCGCAGTGACATTTTCGTGCCAAAAGGCTTCGCCGAAGGTGCGCTAAAAGCGCGCCAGCTGAAACCAGGTCTACTGTCAGCTAGAGTTGGGTGGTATCCACATTTTGTTACCGTTAAACCTTCCCCTCATTGGGGCGACGGTAGAGTAGTGGATAGTGCCCGTGCCCCATGTACAGAGGCATTGCCTCGCTGCAGCGGCAGCAGGTTTGAATCCGGCTCGCGGCCCTTTGCTGCATGTCAGTCCCCACTCTCTCCCCATTTCACTCTGTCCTGTCATTAAAGGCAAAAAGCCCACAAAAATAATCTTAAAAAAAAAGAAAAGAAAAGAAAAGAAAAGAAAAAACCTTCCCCTCATTTTCCTGGGGTATACGGTATTACCGTGACCAATTAAAATCACTTTGAAGGGCTCAGAGGGAGTCACCAAAATGTTGGCTTGTGCTTATACTGTTCAGAAACCTAATAACAAACATTACATAGGCCTAAGAATACTGAACAAATAACAACAAAACATGTACAACATTAACAACTTTTATTAATAATTATACCATGATCTGGGTGAATACTCAATTCTGATTGGCTGCAGGGTGTCCGTTAAAAGGTGTTATAGGACAGCTAAAAAGACGTTCCTTTCAAAATGCCTGATGACAGGCTCTAAATTATTGTGCTGGCTCAACTGCTAGTTTGTAACCATAGCAACGGAGACTCAGAGCAGAGGCAACGGATTACAATGGGCATCATGAGTGATGTTATCGTTTCATTTAATTTATTTGATGAATCTGATAATTTTGATGACTGGGATGCAGAAGAAGAGAGGATAGAGAATGAAAAGAAAGGGAGAAACAGCACAAGGAGGTGACACTGGAAGAATTAAATAATTTAGAAGATGAGAAGGATGAGCCCAACACCAAGAAGACAACGAAATGGACAGTTCAAATGCCACTATGATGGACATACCCATATCACTTTCCAATTTCACTACTAATGGTAATGTAGCATTTAATTTTAAATAGGAAACAATCATTAATTTGTTAATGTGTTTATATGATTTAATCTCGACTACTATATGCTTATGAATTATTTGTTGCAATTAAAAACGATTTTGACTACTATTTGGATGTTGATTATTTGAAACAAATTTTCTTGGGCCTATAAATGAATGTCAGAGAATCATGAAAGTAATATCTAAGTTTTTTTTTGCACATCATCCTCTGACCACCAGAGTCTGTAACACACATAGTACAGCGGATAAGTTCTCAAATTATGAGGAATTGTGCACTTTTTGAAAAAAGCATGACATTTCTACCATAGTTAGTACATACCATAAGGTTTATTTTCAGATGTGGAGGGAAGTCAGATTTGACCTCTGAGGCCCGGGAGAGGTCAAATTCAAGATGGCCGCCAATAATATTCAAATAGGCTTAACTTTGGAACCAAACACAATAGAAAAACATTTAAGGAGTCATTTCCAACTAAGTTTACGGTGCCCATTCAGTTAGTGATACTCTTGAAATCAATGGAATTCAAGAAAATGCATTTAGGTCAAGGTCAAGGTAAAAATTTGCTTACAAAAAACAAAACATTTTCCCCTCTTTTTAAATTTTTTTTTAATGAACCCCAAAAATATTTCAATTACTTTTTACTTTCATGTATTATTCAGTAATTAGTTATCATTTACTGGGATGTGTGGTTATTTTTTCCTGATAAGCACATCATTATAAGCAGATGGCCCTCTAGAGCATCAGAAGCTAATGCCAGTAGCGATGTAATCAGTAGGCAACATGATGAGTAGGCTACAGTATGCACAAGTGACGAGACAGAGAGCACTTCTGACATAAACATCCTACCAGGTAAACTGACTGACTATGTACAGACAATGGCTGTGTTTCCCAGTTAAGAGCGATCTTAAGACTTAAGAGCACAGTTAAGAACGTCTTTGGTAAGAAGGGTCGCTAAGATACGAGTGTTTCCCAGATGCATTCTTAATGCCCTTCTAAGGATCGCTCTTAAGATCGCTCTTTAAGAAGCTCTTAACAGGAGCTGTCCACTACCGCGGTGCTGAAACAATCGATGTTAGGCAAATCAATCACCCACCACTTAATCAGCGCATAAGTCACACACAGCGCTGCTACCTAATGTACTAATTCCCTGCTGCTCATGTGTATGTGTGTTCTAATAATTCTAATGAAAAACTAAGACGATAAATATTTGTTAATGACCTATTTTCATGATGAAAACAAGACTACAACTAAATAAGAAGTAGTCTTGGTAAGAGAATCATAAGGAAATGTATTATATTTAAACAAAAAAACACAGACGCCTTGCTGAGGCTGGTGCCGTCTCCCACCACGTCCAGGAAGCTCCCCACTGCGTAAAAATGCAGCGCAGCCAGACATTGCACCTCCAGGCTGAGGGCAAAATTGCACCAGGTTGCCCTCAAATGTGTGGAGACACTAGTTGATGAGGCATTGTATCTCGGTACTTCATTTGAACAGCTCGGTCTGACAGCACGTCGAGTGGGCTGAAGTGCTGACGCACAAATGCATTTACATATATGGTTTGGCTTCACACACGGCAACGCTGTT